TCTTGGATGTGTCATTTGATCTTGGATGTAGTAAGCGACGTACGAAGAACAGGCCCCAGATTTTTAAAACACCAAACATCAGTATCTTCTCCAAAATCTACATTGGTTAGGCTCTGATCATTTATGTTAATCGCAGCGTAACTGTATAAATATCATAGTCCCCTCTTATTTGCCTGTTGCAGATCACCATAGAGATTGCTCAGGACTTACTTTAAGAATGACTTCTAGGCCGTAAGTAATGAGTTAAATATATCAACTTTTCAGTTAATAATGAAACAAAATAAATTAGAAGATGTTTTAACAGTTGTTTCTTCAAAACTGCTTTCTGGTTGAGAACATCAAAGAATATAAACATTGATAACCTGAAAATAAACTTTTTTGTTTTTGTCCTTCTGTTGGACTTCTAAAAAGGCAGCCATTCATTGCTGGCATATATTTGCTCATGTCTGTGGACACAGTTATCCTTCCAGGACAAAGAGGTATGCTATAAGTCTTTTAACATAGCACAGTCCAACCTGCAGTAAATCGTGTGTTTGTGTGTGACAAAGTCTCATTTACGGGTTTATGTACTTTGTCATATAACAAAACTAACTTGGATAGCGTCTTTATTTGTAAGTAACAAATTGAATAGGTTGATTTTGTTCATCTGGACGTAGCGTTTCGAGAAATGTTTCATCACTCATCCAAGTGACTTCTTCAGCCTCAGCTGACTGCAGGTTTTCCCAACCTTATAAACAGTACATTGCACATTTTCTTCTGTGATTGCAGCTATTCTATAACTCTCTGTGAATGGTACTCATGGCCATTGATCTATCGTCTATGATCAATGGTTGTTGATCAATGGTCATGAGAATTTCCATATTAATGATCAAGGAACTGACCTCACAGCCCAGTGTTTGTTTAGTGGGCTGGTTTCAGTTATTGTGCAATATACTGTTTATAAGGTTGGGGAAACCTGCAGTCAGCTGAAACTAAAGAGGTCACTTGCATGAGTGACGAAACGTTTCTCCCTTTGAATATACTATGTCCAGATGAACAGAATCAACCTTTTGGAATTTACTTATCTGGATGATTGAGCATGCATCAAGACAAATTGAATAAATATTTAAAAGTAAAGCCAGCTGTTTCAGTCTGTTCACAAATGCTTGATAGAATGCATGAATGGATAAGTCAGAAGAAAAGTGATGCCTGTCCTGACTTGCTTTGCTTTCCTGTGTTAGTTACAGATGCAGATGTCGCATGCGATTATACTTCATATCCAATCTACCCATTTGCCTTCAGGACCCACACACACCGCCTTGGTGAGAAAAACAAATAATTTTCTAACTTTTTCAGATCTTTTTTTTTTATCAGTATAAGTGTTAGTATAAGTGTTAGTATGAATTAGTCTGTTTTTCACAGGTAAAGTGGTCAGTGGCTACAGAATCCGAGATGGGAAGTGGACCCTGATTGGGAGACAATCCCCTCAGCTACCACAGGTAGGTCATTAAATCAAAGGCCCATTTTTGGGAACCACACAGTACTGTGCTTGAGCAAACTCTCATTTCTTTATATACTGCTCAAAAATATGTTTCTAAATCATGGTTGGCTTGGGGATCAAATACATTAAATAAATTGAAGGAACACTTTTAAAGTATAGTATCAAGTCAATTAAACTTCTGGGATACTGATCCGGGCAGTTAAATATTAGAAAGGTTGTTAATCAATTTCAGCTGCTTGATGTTGGTGAAAAGAACAACAGGTACACAAAAGAGGGTCAAGAATGAGACAAGCCCCAAAACGGCAATGGTTTTCCAGGTTGAGGGCCCTGACATTTTTTCCATCCTCATCTTTCCTGACTGTATATATACTTTATATCCAGGTGATACTTAGACTTTAAAAAATGTTGGATAGATAGTCCAGTTCCTCTAGGATGGCCCGTTCATATGTGCCATTTGCAAAGGTTTGCTGTGTTTCTCAGCTTATTCTCAAGAGCATGAAGGAGAAAGGCAATTACTTTAGGAGAGCTGGGGAGTACAAGTTCCTTACCCAATTATAACTGGTATGTGTTCCTTTGTACAAGAAGGAACAGTATGAGCATTGCTAGATCCCTACAAAAAGATCTCCCACAGAGCATTGGTGTGAATGTCTATTACCGGAAAATCAAGCCATCCACATAATGTACTGTAAAAGAAAACATGATTCACCAGACTAGGCCACCTTTTTTCCATTGCTCTGTGTTATAGTTCTTATGCTTTACAATGCCCATTGTTTGTGCTTTAGAGGTGCACAGGGTTCAGCATGGGAACCCTGACTGGTCTGCACTGTGTATTCTGATACATTTCTATCAGAACCACACTTTCTTTTGGCAGTTTCAGCCACATTCGCTCATCTGTTGGATCAATTCACACAGGCCAGTCTTTGCTCCCTATGTGCATCAGTGATGTACATGGAGTGACACATTTGGCTGCCCATGACCTTGTTGCTGGTCCTGTTGGGGCCGAGAGGGCCAGGCTGTGGGTGTGGACTCAAATGCAGACACAGAGGGAGGCAAAACAGGCGTGAACACAGTGCTTTATTTACAGTGCCTAGTGAACTTACAAAGCAGGAAACTATGAATGCTATGAACTGAGGGGCCAAACTATGAACATGAAACTCTGAGTGCTATGACTAGGTGCTAGATTTCACCGATGGATCCTGGGAATGGAAAAAGGGGCACCGGCTTGGATGGAGGTACGCAGTCACTATAATGAGAGGAGACAAGTAGTCAGTGGCAGTCTAGTGAATCACAGCTGAAGGAGTAGACTATGGTGGTTAGGGCTTATGCGTTGCAGGTTAAAGTGTCATGTGATGAGGGGGTGTCCAAGGAGTTCCGGGTGAGGAGTGTCCAGAGAGGATCCAGAATATACTTGGAGTGAGGGACTTGGCAGGGAGGCAGGCAGGTGTAGTCCGATGATGGAAAGGAAGCAACCAGATGACAGAACCAGCGTCCAGGCGGAGATGTGAGTAGTTTAGCTTGGGAAGTGCGACTGCCAGGTGGGTCCTATGACAAAGAAAACACGGTGAGGAGAAAAGCAGTAGTTAAGGGCTCTCACAAGGGCTTGGCGGCCTAGCACTAACGTGAGTTAGCAGAAGATCTAGCAGAGGTCTGTTGTGAATGCTGGTCTTATATGCTGGTGACTTGATTGGAACCAGGTGTGGAAGCTGATTGGAGTCTCTGCCTGAAGGTGGAGCCCAGCGGAGTGGAAAAACCCCGTACTCACCCGGACCATAACAGGTCCACCAGTTATCTTTCCTTGGACCACTTCTGATAGATACTGACCACTGCAGAATACACCACAAGAACTGCAGTTTTGGAGCTGCTCTGATCCAATCATGTGCGCATCACAGTTTGGCCCTAGTCAAAATCTTTCAAATCCTTAAGCTCAGCCATTTTTCCTGCTTCTAACACATTAAGATTAAGGACAAAATGTTCACTCATTAACAGAAGCTATGATGAAGAGATTAATCTGTTACGTCAAGACACAACTCTAGCGTCTAGGCACTGTAAGTAGGTGCCTTTTTAGGCCTGAATAATGTATACAGCAATTTTAAATACCTTAACAAACAACTAAAAAATTGTCCTAGGTACAAAAACTGCAAGAAACCTAATGTAAAAGCAGGTCTTCTCTTTCTTTCTCTTTAATGCTTTCTCTCTTTCTTGCCAACGTTGTCTGTTTCTTTTCAAGTACAGTTTAGTTTTCTCTTTGCTCACCACTGACTGATTTTTTTCTCTTTAGGCTTTCTATCCTGCTAACAAGCAGGTGACTGTGAAATATGGTGATACCCTTGCTGCCAGATGTGTGTTCACTGGTGAGGGTAAAACCTCAAAAACTTACATTGGGTGAGTTCTTCAACCTAATGTAACCTTAGTGAAAAAGTATTAGACTTATATCCATTTACTGTTTTTCTCAATATGGTATGCACTGAAGGCATAAAGAAACCAAGCATTAAGCTTCCAAGCATTAAGATTTAAAAAAGCACTGTGCTAAAATTGTATTGATCTTAATTTAAAAAAATGTCTCGTACCAAAGTCTGCCCTGCCTTTCCACATAAGAATGTATCTAGAATGTGGGTTTTTTGTATGTGCCTGGCCCGTAAGGCCAGCTAGTATATGGTAAAATGGTAAATGGCCTGTATTTATATAGCGCTTTACTAGTCCCTAAGGACCCCAAAGTGCTTTACATAACCAGTCATCCACACACACACATTCACACACTGGTGATGGCAAGCTACATTGTAGCCAAC